AGGGTATTGCTATTTTGGATTATTTCAGCCAGAGAAATATAAAGTTCCTCAATATCAGTATTATTTCATACTGCATTCTATTGCAAAACTGGAATTCTACACACACCAAATGCAGAGCTAAGTCCTACTAAATTCAGTGGCACCTGTACTCATTAGCATGCATGAGATGGAGTCTGGAATATCTTCAAGGGTAAACTTTACTCAAGAGGAAAAAAACACGTATATGGAAAGAAGAGAGAGACAAAAATGTTATTTCTACTTCCAGACTAAAGATAAAAGACAAAAAAGGTGGTGGTTACAGTGAAGTCAAGCCTAAAACTAGTTCACAATGCATGTACGCTAAAGAATGCAGTTTGACACCACTTTAACTTTCATGGATCAATGCTACTGAATGATGGGAGCGGTAGTTTTACAAGATCTTAAGCTTTCTCTGTCAAAGACTGCTGGTGCCCCCTAGTGGAGGTACACAGGCATTTTTGCAAGTGCCATACCTTTCACCTCTAAGCCCCAACTACACTGCCTTATGATGCAGTTTCATAATGCAGCTTAACTGCACTGAATTGCATTATAGAAGTCTATACTGCCATAGAATACAGTTAAACTGCATTATGAAACTGCATCATATGGCAGTGTAGATGGCGCCTACATTTCTAAATGTAGCATAGGTCCACACTGAATAGAACTAAATACCTTAAAGCAGTGGTTCCCAACCTGTGGGTCCCCAGATGTTTTGGCCTACAACTCCCAGAAATCCCAGCTAGTTTACCAGCTGTTAAGATTTCTGGGAGTTGAAGGCCAAAACATCTGGGGACCCACAGGTTGAGAACCACTGCCTTAAAGCCATCAGATCCTGTCTGATCTTGGAGGCTAAACAAAGAAAACATGAAAATGAACAAAATCTGGCTACCAGTATTTAAAAAACACTCAAATCGGGAAAGTAAATAAAGAGCAGCACTCAAAAAACAGAGGAATTCCAGACAGGAAACAATCAGGGTTAGTTAACACCTCCCCACAAAGGATTGCCCCAGGAAAGAAGCAGCCAGGTATTGAAGTTGCAAGGCCATTCAATGATAATCAAGGTGACCAACTGCAAAATGCACACCTGCCTCCAACAGACAAAAGTTCTTTCTCCCACCCTGGAATTTCCACAGATATATAAAGCCCTCTTGCCTAGTTTCCAACAGACCTCACAAACTCTGAGGATGCCTTTCATAGATGTGGGTGAAATGTCAGGAGAGAATGCTTCTGGAACATGGGCATACAGCCCAGAAAACTCACAACAACCCAATGATTCTAGCCATGAAAGCCTTCGACAACACAAAGTCATCCTGGTTAGTACTTGGCTGAGCAACTGCTGACAAACACCAGGTGCCGTAGGCTATATTTCAAAGGCAGGGACTATAGTAGTAGTAGTAATAATAATAATAATAATAATAATAATAATAATAATAACTGGCAAAAACACTTCTGAATATTCCTTGTCTAAGAACCCTAGAAGTCAACAGGCACACACAGGGTCACAAGCGATTTCCTGATAATCTTCCAACTAGTGCCTAATGCCCCAGTACAGCAACACCCTCAAGCATTTCATGGAGGAAAACAGTAATGTGTTTTGCCAAGTGATAAAAGTGGAAAACATTTTAAATAGGGAATAACATACAAAATAGGAACCGCTGAAGTTGTTTTCTTTTGCCTGAGCCTACTGGGAAGGGTAAGACACTGCTACTTCCTTTTTTGCAGCGTTTCTCAACCTGAGGGTCGGGACCCCTGGAGGGGTTGCAAGGGGGTGTCAGAGGGGTCACCAAAGACCATCAGAAAACACAGTATTTTGTGTTGGTCATGGGGGTTCTGTGAGGGAGGTTTGGCCCAATTCTATCATTGGTGAGGTTCAGAGTGCTCTTTGATTGTAGGTGAACTATAAATCCCAGCAACTACAACTTCCAAATGACAAAATCAATCCCCCCCCTCCCCAAACCCACCAGTATTCAATTTGGGCATATTGGATATTTGTGCCAAATTTGATCCCGTGAATGAAAATACGTCCTGCATATCAGATATTTACATTACAATTCATAACAGTTATGAAGTAGTAATGAAAATAATTTTATGTTTGGGGGTCAGCACAACATGAAGAACTGTATTAAGAGGTTGCAGCATTAGAAAAGTTAAGAAACTGGGTTATTTTGATATGCACTTTTTCTAACACACACAATTTTACTCATTATTCTTTGCTATTATTGTTATTACTAATTCACATACATCCCACATTTTCTCCCCAAAATTGGGACCTTACAACAAGTACACCATATATATATATATATAGAGAGAGAGAGAGAGAGAGCTAAAAGCACATACAAAAGGACAGGTCTGACAAATAAAATGTCATTGTTGAAGAACTGAAGCCATTCATTAAAACAACAAAGATACAAATCAAATTTAAAAATATTTTCTCTTTGACAAAAGTATGTTTACATTATTTTTCAGAGACAGGTATTTTTAGGTGTGCCCATTTATTTGCATGTGATTTGAAAAGGAAATAATGGGAGGATGTACCAATTGCTCAGTTTCCTCCTGGTAACAGCAAAACTAGAACTATCAATGAACCATTGTTAGTTGTCTCTCATGTGTCTTAAAACAGATGATCTAAAAAAAACTGTGGTCCCATCTACACCGACCATTTAATGTAGAGTGACAGAGCCAACATATAATGTGTGAACCCATCAAAACAGTTCACCAAGCTTTAATTGGCTTACATTATCATAACATCAATCTATATTCAGATTCACTAATTTTTAAAAGCTATTTACAATGCAAGGCTCTAGAAAAGGAATAGTCAAACTTTCTAATTTAGGGGCCGCATGGTGGGCCAGAGTGGGGTGGGTGGGCTGGGAGGGAGGTTTTTTTCCCCCCAAACTATAAATCCCACAACTACAACTCCCAAATGATTTTTTTGTTTTTGAGTGATGTTCACTCCTTGGATTGTGGCCAAATTTTGTGTCAATTAGCTGCCCTGAGTCCCCTCGAGGAGATAGGGCGGAGTAAAAATAAAGTATTATTATTATTATTATTATTATTATTATTAGGGTAAAGGTAAAGATTTCTCCTTGACATTAAGTCCAGTTGTGTCCGACTCTGGGATGTGGTGCTCATCTCCATTTCTATGCCGAAGAGCCGGCGTTGTCTGTAGACACCTCCAAGGTCATGTGGCCAGCATGACTGCAGCTTACACATGTTGTTGTTGTTGTTGTTGATCATTCATTCAGTCATTTCCAACTCTTCGTGACCTCATGGGCCAGCCCACGCCAGAGCTCACCACCCCCAACTTCTTCAGAGACAAGCCACTCACTTCAAGGATACCATCCATCCATCTTGCTCTTCCTTTTTCCTTCCATTTTCCCCAGCATCATTGTCTTCTCTAAGCTTTCCTTTCTTCTCTTGATGTGGCCTACTATCCTTCCCTCCAATGAGCAGTCAGGCTTTATTTCCTGAAGTATGGACTGGTTGGATCTTCTGGCGGTCCAAGGCACTCTCAGAACTTTCCTCCAACACCACAGCTCAAAAGCATCTATCTTCCTTTGCTCAGGCTTCCTTATGGTCCGGCTCTCACATCCAGAGGTTGCGATGGGGAATACCATTGCTTTTACTATGCGGATCTTTGTGATGTCTCTACTCTTCACTAGGCTTGGGTAACAACGGAAAAAATTGTTTCTAAACTCGTTTCGTTTTTAGGGGTCCATCACGTTTCATTTTTTTAAAGAATTCTGAAATTTTCCTTTTAAAAATTTCAAAATTTACAAAATTTCGTATAAGTACGAATCAATTCGTTAATGGCGGACGCAATTGCGCAATATGCTAAAAAAACCTCCAAATGGGACAGGGGGAACTTCTGAAGCTTCCCTCTCCCTCTGTTGTTGACTGTTGGTGTGATAAAACAAACAACAAATATAAAACTTGCACCAGACACGCGAAAATAATTACGAAATAATTACGAAATAAATTGAAAAAAATGTTTCGAATCTAATTTACTCCTCACACTATTCCTGCATGGCTCAATATTGGATCGTAAGCTAATTTAAATACGAATTAATTACGAATTACGAAATTAACAAACGAAACCGCCCAAGCCTACTCTTCACTATTTTATCTATCTATCTATCTATCTATCTATCTATCTATCTACCTACCTATATATCACTGTATTCTCAATTCACTTCTGACACAATAAATTATCATGATCATTATTAGCAGCAGCAGCATAGAATCACAGAATCAAAGAGTTGGAAGAGACCTCATGGGCCATCCAGTCCAACCCCCTGCCAAGAAGCAGGAATATTGCATTCAAATCACCCCTTGTGCCTCCCTGCAGAATGGCCCTTGGAGTCTCTTCCAACCCAATCAGTCTGACTTACTGCCCTGATCACATGTGAAAGGAGTCTTACAGTCTGAACATTGTAGTAGTAATATCTGCAGTGTTGCTTCTGTGGCCACCTCTCACATACTTTACGTGCGAAAACGCCACACCTCCTGTGCATTTAGAGTTTCGGACTTCAGTTCCCAGAATCCCTGACAAGCAGCTGAGGCTTCTGGGAGTTGAAGTCCAAAACACCGGAGAGTTTGGAAAACACTGAAAGCGTGCTTGCTGAGCCTTTCATTCTTGGCTATTACTGGCAGCGTTGCTTCTGAGCGGCCCTGGGGAGCTAGGGCGGGCTACAAGTAAAGTTTATTATTATTATTACTCTGCCGCCACCTCTCACTTACATACACATACTTCCTTCTTCCTTCTCCTTCTTTCTACGTGCAAAAAGCCCACACTCGCGGCTGTGTGATTGAGCAACGCGTTGCTAGCCCTTTTGGCTCCTCCCGCTTCCTCCCGCCTCCCCGCGCGCGGCCGGGAATTGTAGTCCAAGGCCTGCCTCCTCTTGATTGAGTGACGCGCGCGGCCCGTTTGGGCGGGACTCCATTTCCCAAGAGCCCTCGCTCCCGGGAGCGGCCTGCCCCCTTGTTTCCCCCTCCCGAGGCGAGGGGTGTGTGCGTTGCGCTCTTCCCGCAAGACGGACGAGGCGCGAGAGGAGCGATGTCCCGCTTCCTGCGCGGCGTGTGCGCTCTGGGCGCGCGGGAGCTGAGGCGCCCCGGGCCGGGCTTCTCCTGGGCTCCTTCCAGGCGGCGGGCGGCGCTGTCGTGGAGCGCGGGGGCGGCGGCGGCGCTGGCGGCAACGCTGGCCGGGCTGGGCTGGGCTCGGCGGGCGGAGATGGAGCTGAGGAAGCCCGAGGCGGAGGAGGCGGAGGAAGAGGGAGAAGGGGGCCTGCCGGGCTTCATGGCGCCGCCGGTGAGCGGCCTGAAGGAGCTGCAGGCGCGGCGCGGGGAGATGCGGGCCCGCATGGAGCTGCTCATCATGGAGACCCAGAGCCAGGTCTGCCGCGCCCTCGCCCACCTCGACCGCGGGGCCGCCTTCACCGTCGACCGATGGGAGAGGAAGGAAGGTGACCCCCTGCCAGGCACAAAACACAGCCACGCCGGGGCTGAGGGGCGGGGGGAATCCCTCTGGAGGGCTTTTCAGCCGGACGGGCATCTGTCGGGAGGGCTTGGATTGTGCCTCCCTGCAGAATGGCCCTTGGAGTCTCTTCCAACACAATGAGTCTGACTTACTGCCCTGATCACATGTGAAAGGAGTCTTACAGTCTGAACATGTGTCAACAGACCAAGGCTACATTAGGAGTATAGTGTCTGAACCAGGCATGGGCAAACTTGGGTCCTCCGGACTCCCAACTCCCACAATTCTTAACAGCTTGGGAGGGGGGAGTCTCTGGAGGGCTTTTAAACCAGACGGGCTTCTATCAGGAGGGCTTGAGTTGTGCCTCCCTGCAGAATTGCCCTTGGAGTCTCTTGCAACACAATGATTCTGACTTACTGTCAGAATGATCGCATGTGAAAGGAGTCTTAAAGTCTGAACATGTGGCCAAGGTTGCATCAAAAGGAGTATAGTGTTGAAACTAGGCATGGGCAAACTTTGGCCCTCTGGATCTTCAATTGTCACAATGCCTAACAGGTTCAATAGCTAGAATTCCTATCAGCCAGTAGGCTGTTAGGAATTGTGAGATTTGAAGCCCAAAACAGCCCTCTGGATCTTCAACTCTCACAATGCCTAACAGGTTCAACGGCTAGAATTCCTAGTAGACTGTTAGGAATGGTGGGTGTTGAAGCCCAAAACAGCCGGAGGGCTGAAGTTTGCCCATGCCTAGTCTAAATCTAGCCTTTGGGGTGTCTTCCAGCTCTCAGTGAATGCAGTTTATGACTCATAAAGGCTGCATTAAAAGGAATATAGTGTCAAAGAAAAAGAAAACTAAGAAGGCAAAATGGTTGTCTGCTGAGACACTGGAAGTAGCCCAAGAAAGGAGGAAAGCAAAAGGAAACAGGGATAAGGGGAGATATGCCCAGTTAAATGCGCAATTCCAGAGGTTAGCCAGAAGAGATAAGGAACTATTTTTAAATAAGCAATGCATGGAAGTGGAAGAAGACAACAGAATAGGAAGGACAAGAGACCTCTTCCAGAAAATTAGAAACATTGGAGGTAAATTTCAGGCAGAAATTGGTATGATAAGAAACAAAGATGGCAGGGACCTAACAGAAGCTGAAGAGATCAAGAGAAGGTGGCGAGACTATACAGAAGATCTGTATAGGAAGGATAATAATATCGAGGATAGTTTTGATGGTGTGGTAAATGAATTAGAACCAGACATCCCGAGGAGTGAGGTTGAATGGGCCTTAAGTAGCATTGCTAACAACAAGGCAGCAGGAGACGACGGGATCCCAGCTGAACTGTTTAAAATCTTAAAAGATGATGCTGTCAAGGTGATGCATGCCATTTGCCAGCAAATATGGAAAACACAAGAATGGCCATCAGACTGGAAAAAATCAACTTACCTCCCCATACCAAAAAAGGGAAATGCGAAAGACTGCTCAAACTTCCGTACAGTGGCCCTTATTTCTCATGCCAGTAAGGTAATGCTCAAGATCCTGCAAGGAAGACTCCAGCAATACAGGGAGCGAGAGGTGCCAGATGTTCAAGCTGGGTTTAGAAAAGGCAGAGGAACGAGAGACCAGATTGCCAATATCCGCTGGATAATGGAGAAAGGCAGGGAGTTTCAGAAAAACATCTATTTCTGCTTCATTGACTATTCTAAAGCCTTTGACTGTGTGGATCATAATAAATTGTGGCAAGTTCTTGGTGGTATGGGCATACCAAATCACCTTATCTCTCTCCTGAGGAATCTGTATAAGGACCAAGTAGCAACAGTCAGAACTGACCATGGAACAACAGACTGGTTCAAGATTGGGAAAGGCGTACGGCAAGGCTGCATCCTCTCACCCAACCTTTTTAACTTGTATGCAGAACACATCATGCGATGTGCGGGGCTGGATGAATGCAAAGCTGGGGTGAAAATTGCTGGAAGAAACATTAACAACCTCAGATATGCAGATGACACCACTCTGATGGCCGAAAGCGAGGAGGAGCTGAGGAGCCTTCTAATCAAGGTGAAAGAAGAAAGCGCAAAAGCCGGGTTGCAGCTAAACATCAAAAAACAAGATTATGGCAACAAGACTGATTGATAACTGGCAAATAGAGGGAGAAAATGTGGAGGCTGTGACAGACTTTGTATTTCTAGGTGCAAAGATTACTGCAGATGCAGACTGCAGCCAAAATCAGAAGACGCTTACTTCTTGGGAGGAGAGCAATGTCCAGTCTCGATAAAATAGTAAAGAGTAGAGACATCACATGGCAACAAAGATCCGCATAGTCAAAGCATGGTACATGTAGTAACCTACGGATGTGAGAGCTGGACCTTAGGGAAGGCTGAGCAAGGAAGAGATGCTTTTGAGCTGTGGTGTTGGAGGAAAATTCTGAGAGTGCCTGACTGCGAAGAAGATCCAACCAGTCCATCTCCAGGAAATAAAGCCCGACTGCTCATTGTAGGGAAGGATAGACATAAAGATGAAGTACTTTGGCCACATCATGAGAAGACAGGGGAGCTTGGAGAAGACAATGATGCTGGGGAAAATGGGAGGAAAAGGGAGAGGGGCCGACCAAGGGCAAAGTAGATGGATGGTATCCTTGAAGTGACTGGCTTGATTGAAGGAACTGGGGGTGGCCACGGCCGACAGGGAGCTTTGGCGTGGGGCTGGTCCATGAGGTCACGAAGAGTCAGAAGCAATGAACGAATGAACAACAACAACAACAAGTGTCAAAGCCAGGCATGGGCAAACTTTGGCCCTCCAGGTGTTTTGGGCTCCCACAATTCCTAACCCGGGGGGTCTCTTGAGGGCTTTAAAGCCAGACGGGAATTTGTCGGGAGGGCTTGGATTGTGCCTCCCTGCAGAATGGCCCTTGGAGTCTCTTCCAACACAATAATTCTGACTTACTGTCAGAATGATCACATGTCTTAAAGTCAGAACGTGGCTAAGGCTGCATCAAAAGGAGTATAGTATTGAAACTAGACATGGGCAAACTTCGGCTCTCTGAGTCTTCAACTCTCACAATGCCTATCAGGTTCAATGCAGTTTATGATGTATAAAGGCTGCATCAAAAGGAGTATAGTGTCGAAGCCAGGCATGGGCAAACTTCGGCCCTCCGGGTGTTTTGGATTCCTACAATTCCTAACCCCGGGGAGGGGGGCTTCTTAAGGGTTTTTAAGCCAGACGGGCATCTGTTGGGAAGGCTTGGATTGTGCCTCCATGCAGAATGGCCCTTGGAGTCTCTTCCAACACAATGATTCTGACTTACTGCCCTGATCACATGTGAAAGGAGTCTTACAGTCTGAACTCCCACAATTCCTAACCGGGGGGGGGGGGGTCCTCTGGAGGGCTTTTAAGCTGGACAGGCATCTGTCGGTAGGGCTTGGGTTGTGCCTCTCTGCAGAGTGGTCCCTTGGGTCCTCTTCCAAGTAGTAGATGATACTGCTCAGATCACATGTGAAAAGAGTCTTCAGTAAGACACCAAGGCTGCATTAATAGATGTATTGTCTAAACTAGGCATGGACAAACATGAGCCCTCCAGGTGTTCTGGACTCCCACAATTTGTAACAAGGGGGTGGGGGCTCTGGAGGGATTTTAAACCAGACGGGCATCTGTCGGGAGGGCTTGGATTGTGCCTCCCTGGAGAATGGCCCTTAGAGTCTCTTCAACTCGATAATTCTGACTTCTCTTGTAACGTGAAAGGAGTCTAAGTTAGACCACAGTCAGAACATGTGTCAACAGGGCAAGGGTGCACCAATAGGAATATAGTGTTGAAACTCCTAACCGGGGGGGGGGGGGCACTCTGGAGGGCTTTTAAGCTGGTTGGGCATCTCTAATGAGGGCTTGGTTTGTGCTTTCCTGCAGAATGGCCCATGGAGTCTCTTCAAAATCAATGATTCTGACTTGCTTCCCTCTTAACGTGAAAGGAGGCTTCAAGTTTGATCACAGTCTGGACATGTGTAAACAGGCCAAGGCTGCATCAAAAGGAGTATAGTATTGAAACTAGGTATGAGCAAACTTCGGCCCACCGGGTGTATTGGACTCCAACTCTCACAATTCCTAACAGCAGTAGGGTGTTAGGAATCATGGAGTTGGAGTCTAAAACACTCAGAGGGCCGAAGTTTGCTCATGCCTGGTCTGAATCTGTCCTTGGGGTCTCTTCCAACTCTATAATCCCAATAAAACACACTCAGCTTTCTTGTACAATTTGGATGATGAAACCGATCTGGCACAAAGGCCATTCCACGGAGACCGTGTTAACATCTTTATTCTTTCTCCCCCCACTTTTACCCTGCTTCTTTCCCTGATGAAGCCTGTATAAAGAATTTTAGTCCTTTCTATAAGGAAATGTTGGTTATCAGAGCTGAGCTGTTAGAAAAGTTAAAATAGTGTGATGAATTGAATTGGGGATTTTTTTAGAGGCAACCCATCCTGAAAGGAGTGTGTGGTGTTTGAACAGATAATTGTAGGCATTGCTCATTTAATGGGTGGGCTTTATGAGTCCTGCATTGCATACTCACTGTGTGAGGTGGAGAAGATAAGAAAGGAGGATCCCATTTCAAGGTCTTATCTCTTCTTGACAGGTATCAAAGAGCACCACATCTATATTTCCTTCTTAAAAGCAAACCCTTGTCACTAGTAAATGCATGGTTTGGGGAGGGAACAGAATGAAAACCTCCGAACACACAAATTTAGGACAGATGCTTGGCAACTTGTATTCCTTTCTGCTTACCACAGCATGGACTGTGCTTTGTTTATACTGACCAAACTCAAAATGTTTTGGGTTGCTGTGAGTTTTCTGGGCTGTATGGCAATGTTCCAGAAACATCTATGGCAGGCATCATCAGAGGTTGTGAGGTATTTTGGAAACTAGACAAGGGAGGCTTATATATCTGTATTCATCTTTTGGCTGGATGCCTGCCATAGATAGAATCATAGAATCAAAGAGTTGGAAGAGACCTCATGGACCATCCAGTCCAACCCCCTGCCAAGAAGCAGGAATATTGCATTCAAATCACCCCTGACAGATGGCCATCCAGCCTCTGTTTAAAAGCTTCCAAAGAAGGAGCCTCCACCACACCACACCAGATGTGGGCAAAATGTCAGGAGAGAATGCTTCTGGAACATGGCCCTACAGCCTGGAAAGCTCAAAGCAGCCTAGTCATTCTGGCCATGAAAGCCTTCGACAACACATTAAAATGTTTTGTTTAGTTTTTTAGAATTCCGTATCCATGGTCATACTTACACAAATTGATGAGCTTTATATTCATTTAAATGTACTAACAACATTGATGTTTCATGAAATTATCATGCTTAATACTCATTAGAGAAGTGTAAGGAGTACCATAATTTAAAAGATATCTCTAATGAAATCACCTAATTCTGATTAATGTTCCACTAAGTCCAACAAAGGCATAGGTAACTCAGTTGACCTGTAACTAAAATATTCCCATGTCATCCTTCCAAGCATTGTAGAATCTAAAATCTTACGTTCAGAAACACATGATCCCAGTAGGTGTATTTATGAATGGGTTTTAAAATTGACCAGTAATGGAGGAAAAATGTTATTGTATTTAACAGGTGGAGGAGGCATCAGCTGTGTACTTCAAGATGGCGAGATCTTTGAGAAAGCTGGAGTCAATGTATCTGTTGTTTTTGGGCACCTTTCTGAGGAAGCAGCTCAGCAAATGAGAAGCAGGGGGAAATCTTTAAAAGCCAAAAATGGTAAGACACATTACTTGCAAATTGATGTAACTCAAACAAGACTTGCTGGACATGGTAGAGCACCCAGCTTCGCACAGTGGCCTGCTAGTAATTTATGGAAATTTTTTGAATACATCAGTGCAGCTGAAATGTCGGATCTTTTGCAGAAGTAAACCCCAGTGAGTTCAGTGGTTTCCACTACCTATTAAATAAATATAAAATTCCATGTAATTAAATACAGGTTTGTAACTGATGTCTCAAAGGTGCACCCAAGGCTACCTGGCATCCCAGCCTTGGAAAAATGTGGGATAGAAATCAAATAAGTAGATAAATAAAACAAGAGGAGAGGGTAAAGTTACTGCAGTTTTCCTGGCCAGTAGCAACAACATGCTTTGCTAATGGAAACTGCATTTGGGATTGGAAAGGAGGAGGTGAAGTGAGGATTATATCTTTTCCTTTCTCTCCTGCAGTCCCTTGGGCAAGATCAAAACACGTCTGCAGGGCAGGAAAGCCCTCTAGAGTATTTTTAGACACTGCAAAAGGCTATGGAGGGAGTGAAAACCACAAAACAAATTATTTGATTTGATCATGTAAGATTTTCAGAATCATGAGACACAAGTCTAGCTACTTTTCTGAAATCTAAACAGTTGTGACTTTGAAAAATAGAGGTTTCAGGCTCAGATGCTTCTGAGATGAAAGTTGCAAAATGCAAAGTGCAGTTAGAAAGGTTTGTTTATTTTAACACGGTGTGATGTTTCAGTCGCTAACCAAGACTACTTTTATTTTCTAGGGAAATTGCCTTTTTGTGCTATGGGAGTGAGCTCTGTCATTCACCCAAAGAACCCTTATGTCCCCACTATACACTTCAACTATAGATACTTTGAAATTGAGGAAGCAGATGGTAAGATCTGAATTACTCTAGAAATGTATTAAATATTATGTGTGTGACAAAATTTAAATCTGAGTGGAGCAAATAAACCTTACAGTACAATTGTGCATTAAAAACTGCCTTGGAGTTCTCTAAGCTCTCTCCCAAACTTTCATGGAAAAAATAACCTCTAGCTTATTTGTAATGAGTGTTGTATTTTTCAACCACCTTTCATACCTGGGGAGAAAAGTATTCCTGCATTGTTTCAAAGGAGATTGAAGAAATGAAAGAAATCTTCAGGAATAATTGTGAAATGTCTGTACTAAATAAGGTAGCTTCCACTATACCTGATAGGTGGGTTTCTCAAGAGATGTTCTTCCTTGGTTAGACCACATCTGGAATATTGAAGGGAAATGTTGACAAACTGGAATGTGTCCAGAGTAGGACAACTAAATTGATCAAGGGTCTGGAGAGCAAGCCCTATGAGGAGCGGCTTAAAGAACTGGGCATGTTTAGCCTGAAGAAGAGAAGGCTGAGAGGAGACATGATAGCCATGTATAAGTATGAGAGAGGAAGTCATAGGGAGGAGGGAGCAAAGCTTGTTTTCTGCTACCCTGGAGACTAGGATGCGGAGTAATGGCTTCAAGCTACAGGAAAGGAGATTCCGCCTGAACATTAGGAAGAACTTCCTGACTGTGAGAGCTGTTCAGCAGTGGAACTCTCTGTCCCTGAGTGTGGTGGAGGCTCCTTCTTTGGAGGCTTTTAAACAGAGGCTAGATGGCCATCTGTTGGGGGTGCTTTGAATACAGTTTTCCTGTTTCTTGCCAAGGGATTGGACTGGATGCCCCATGAGGTCTCTTCAAACTCTATGGTTCTATGTAGGCTTTGCAGACCAACCAAGACAATTTGGGATTTGTGTCAAAGGTCTTTTCAAAAATAACTGAAACACTTGAGCACCTTTCTCTCACCCGGCCTCAGCTACATTGTGTTGTTTCCTAACTCATGAACAAAGGGAAGCCTATATTTTCGAATAAGTTATAACCGTTTGTGGTTGGTTTTCTCAGTTGCTTCTTCAACATCCTTGGCAATATAAGTAAACCTTAAATGAATGGTAGCTCTATGTTTTGAGTATTCCCAAAATATTTTGCAACTGTTTTAATGTGTATTAATTTTAATCTTAATTTAAATATTTATTTTAATTGTATGTATTTAAGGCATTGAATAGTTGCCTATGTGTAAAGCCGCCCTGAGTCCCCTTTGGGGTTGAGAAGGGCAGGGTACAAATATGGTAAATAAATAAATATTCAAAATCAATTTGTAGACAAATGTGTGTGACGTTTCATATACCCCAATGAATAAAATACTGACTTGTTTCTATCAGTTTAAAAATTATATGGTGTGGTTGATTTTTTTCCTTAGGTACTAAACAGTGGTGGTTTGGTGGTGGAACAGACTTAACTCCAACTTACTTGAACAAAGAAGATGCTGTTCATTTTCACAAAACACTAAAGGAGGCCTGTGACAAACATAACCCAGGCCTCTATCCCAAGTTTAAGAAATGGTAGGTCTTAATCAAGTTTTATGTTGTTGAAGACTGAGGTTATCATACATTCATAGGCCTCTTAGGTTTATTTTTAAAGTCTTTCTCTTTGGTATCCATATTGTGGGGGCATCTCAGAACAAATGTATCAATGGTAATTATCTGTGAACCTTAACAGATACTGTAGCTGAAGCAGTGGGGGAAATGTCTTTTGTCCCCTGTCTCCAGTAACCATTCTAAAGTTAGACTTCTGGGGACCATTTCATGTAGTATTTGTTTAGTATTATAAGTCATGTGTCCAAGCCCCTTTTTGTACTTTTGGAAGACAGGAATGGGAGCTTTTTTGAGCTCAGCACAGGTAGAAGAGGCTGGAATGTGCTTCCGGGCTCACAGTTTTCTTCTTGGTAAATAGAACTACTTGGCTTCCTGTTCTTTAATAGCAAATTGAGTTCTTCTCATTCCCTGTTCTCTGTTGCATTTGTATTTTTCTCTGAGCAAATGTTGCAAACATTCCTCCTCTTGCCAGCTCATGAGAAGCTTCTTACAGGGATGATTTTCTGGGTCATTTGGATTAGGGTTGATTTTGTATCTTGGCATTAATATATTCCTCTTCCTAATCACCAGATTGTTAGGAGTACAATGTGTGAGGCTCAAGAACTAAATTTACTTAGGATGATAGTTTTGAGAGGGAGGGAGGGCCAGGTTTTCTCTGCTCTGTCAATCTCCATTTTATCTCTTTTTTCCCCCCTTCCACTCACACAAAGAGAAGCATCCCAGTTCATCAAGCAAAACACTCTTTGTCAGAATTTTTTTAAAAAATAACTAGGTATTTTTAATTACAAAAATGTGAGTCAAGCACTGAAAGGGTTAAATAGATATAATGACTCAGCAAAAGCTGCAGTTCAATATAAGCAGGTGTGCCTATAGCTTAATAGCCTTCAGTGTGTGAGAGGTCTCTATGGAAGAAGGGCCTCAGTGTGTTAGCAGGTCTCAGTATGAGTAGGCCTCAGTGTTAGTTCGCCTCAGTGTGAGAGAGGCATCAGTCTGAGAGAGCCCTCAATGGGAGAAAGACCTCAGTTTGAGAATGCCTGGTGTGAGAAGCTTCAGAGAGGAAGTTGCAGTGTGAAGGCTGCTGTGTGTAAAAAGCTACTGTGTGAAGGTCCTGTGTAAGTTCGTTGTGAGAGGAAGCTCTGTGAGAGTGAAGCTGTTTATCTAAATGAAAAAGAAGCCCAGTGTGGAAGCAAAGAGGAAATGCAAAGAACTTTATTTGTGTTATGGAAACCTTGTTCTTGTAAATATTGCAACCATATTATTTTGCTATAAAGAAAAGCTTGCAATGGAAAAGATAACATTGGTCTGTGTGTTTTATGTTCTTCTTATCACTTTTGGGCTACTGGTGCTGGGTTATGCCGCTGCTAATAAGTTACTCTGCTCTACATTTATGAGGAGGGCCTTTGTTAATAAGCCAACTAGCCCGGCACTCTCAAGTAGTCTGTCTATCCAGCCACTTGGATCTTTACTACAGGTCACACTACAAAATATACTTACATGTTTGGAAGATAGTGGTTATATTTCTTGAAGATGCTATTTGTAGTCCATTTGATCTAAGAACCTGATTATTTCTAGTTTTACAAGCCATGCTGTTATTGAAGAATGAGAGATTCCACTGAGAAATGAATTGGGTGTTTAGTCTCTCCAGCTTTCGGAAAATATGATTTTGATGCCTATTCCTTATAATTTACTCTGAAACCTGTTCTTTGTTACTTCTATATACACTCGAGCTAATTTGGGGTTCTTGTTTTCTCTATCTTTCATGCAAATAGTGAAACTGAAAACATAGGAAACTTGTTCTGCTGAAATGAACGTAGCCAGAGAATTTTGACTTCTTTTCTCTCCTTCTCTCTTCTTTTCACCCTCTACTCCCAGACATAGAAAGTGGATGACAGTAGAAATACTTGCCCTTATAGAATGTGTGCTTTTTTAGTTAAAGTTAATACATATGCATTTGGGAGACTTTAGATTTCTGCAGCTTTGATGTGGGCTGTTGGGTGTTTGCAGGTGTGATGACTATTTCTACATCAAGCACCGTGGAGAACGACGAGGGATCGGAGGCATATTTTTTGATGATTTGGACTCTCCCTCAAAAGAAGAAGTTTTCCAGTTTGTGGAGAGCTGTGCCAAAGCCATTGTGCCTTGCTACATTCCCATTGTGAAAAAACACTGCCATGACACATTCACGCCAGAAGAGAAATTGTGGCAGCAGATACGTAGAGGAAGGTGAGCGCTAAGGGACCATTTCAAGACAATTAATGTAATATTACTAGAGAGTTGTTCTCTTAGGTTAAAAAGGGTTTTTTCCCATTTTCTGCAGGTGCCCCTAACTCCCGCAGATGTACTGTTAACTGCATAGCACTTATATTTGAAACTAGCATATGTTTAATAGTGGTGTATTTAAGCTACCTTATCCTTAAGACAGCATTGTAAAAGTCTTATCAGAGGATGGTTGTGTCTTTTGATAAACCATGTGGAGCCTAAGACTAGGCTAGACTAGCAATGAGTCCTCGGCAGAGTTCTGCTTTTCCTTGTAGCAAGATAAGGAACCACTGGCTAGGTTTATTCCTCCTTCATTGTGACTGGTTGCAAAGATAAGGAGTGCTATGCTGAGAGGACCTCAAAATGGAGTCTATATCAGCATGTCTTGCAAATGAGACAGTTGTTACATCTTGCAGCTTTTAATTTTTCTCCTTAGGCTGGGTCTACACTGCCAATATAATGCACTTTGAATTATGTTATATGTCCAGTATAGACCAGGCCTGTGCCTCCTGTGGTCCTCCAGGCATTGGGTACTCCAACTTCCAGAAGCCCTAGCTAGCTGTGTAATGGTTAGGAATTCTGGGAGCCAAAATCCAAAACACCTGGAGGGCCACAGGTTATGCAGGACTAGTGTAGACTTATAGCAGGAGCTGGTTGGGGATGAGACTTAACAGGGTAACGTGTACATGTTAGAAGCTCAGACATAGGCTCCCAATTTATCCTTACTGTTTCTGCTGTGTCTCCTGTCACTATTCTTATATTTTTGAAGAGTGTGCCCCAAAATTGCATTTTCCTCTCACATCCTGTCCATTTTTTGAAGGAAAGAAACAGTTAATATACCATATACCCTCCTATCTAGTCCCCCCCCCCCTTTTATCAGTGGTATCATAAAAATTGCAATTTACAGTGCTGCTGAGCACTTCACAAAAGCATGGCTTTAAAAATATTATAGAAAAGCTGATACTTCTCTTAAAAATGCAACTTGATAATATTGTAAAAAAAATCATGAGCAGCTGCCTGGTAGAATTTAATGCAAGACCTCTGTTCAACACACGAGTGTGTGGGGGCAGAAAGAGTAGCAGAGCGTTATGTTGCAATGTGACCTTATTAAATAACATGTGGATTTGATGTCGCCTGTGATGTAAGAAAGGAGGAGTATGTTCTCTTAAAAATCTTTGGTGAATCTAGTTTATAAAGAGCATTGCACAATGATATGAGTTAAGGAATAGAAGGAACCATAGACATCGAGAGAAGCTTCCTTCTCCAGAAATTTGTGGAAGAGTTTTTTTGTAAAAAAAAAAAAAAAAAGTACTCCATGAAATAAGGATGTTGTCACATGAAGATTTTTATGGCTAAACTGGGTGTTTCAATTGCTTTCCTTCTGCCAAGAGCATTTATTCTCAGTCCATTGTGACTGAACATTCAAGTGCCTTCTTACTTGATGGTCCAAGATAGATAATTTATAACAGATCCTCTTTTGACTTAATATAAATATTTCTATATTTCCTGTTGTTTGAGGGAGACAATACTGGGCATTCATTGCTTCGCAGTTGCTGACGTTAGTCCCACACTGTTATTCTTCAGTTTCTTAGCCAAGCTTTTGAAATGAATGGTTTTATTCTACAGTTTCTCTTATTAGCAATTAGCAAACTATGATTTGAGACTTTGTGTATTCAAGTGTTCTATGCAGACTTGGAAATTTGATATTGTACCATTTGGTATCTGGACTTAATCTAGTTTATGCTAGCCCAGTTAATATCACTGGCTACACAACCAACTCACACAATGTGGTGAAGATAGTTGGCTTCTATAAATCAAGGTGAATATTTTTTATGTTCAGATGTTATGCTATTATACAATTTTTGTTTGATTACGTTGACTTTAATTTATTGATGTTAGGCTCTTATGCTGTTTTGATGTGTGGGGTTCCTCTGGGATAATTATGTTAATATTTCTCTATTTATGGAGGCATTGAATGATTTCTGTTGTATATTGGAATCTGCCCTGAGTCCTCCTTGGGGAGATAGGGCGGAATATAAATAAAGTATTATTATTATTATTATTATTATTATTATTATTGGGTACAGAATTTTAGTTTTTAATGTCTGTGTTGCAAGGCATTGAATAAATGTCACATGTAAACTGCCTTGAGTTCCCTTCGTGGTAGAGAAAGGTAGGGTTTAAATAGGATAAATAGATTAATAAATTCAGAAACCCACGATCATCTGGATGTTTGTCTGTGAAAAGCCAGTATAGCAGTGCACTATATTGCTCCCTTCATTTGCCAGAAGTTAAGAAAGCCAGAATAAATTATGCCATCTGTGAAACAGGTTAATGTTTCTGCTATTTTCCCTCCCTGTGCTCTCTAATAGGTATGTGGAATTTAACCTTGTTTATGACAGAGGTACAAAGTTTGGTCTTGCAACACCGGGATCCAGGATTGAAAGTATTCTTATGTCTTTGCCTCTCACTGCTAGGTAAGAGCATTATTACAGAAGCAATTCCTGAACAAATACGCAATTCTGAATTAAGTCCTTCCTCTTCCCCTTTGCAACTGGACCTATAATCATATTGATAATAGATGTTTTTATATATAGTAGGCTCTGCCTATCCACAGGTTCTGGCATCCCCAGATTCAATAGCCATGGCTTAAAAATCCACCCCCCCAAAGAAAATTTATGACTTTGCCATTTTATACAAGGGGTGCAATTTTGCTGCACCATTGTGAATAACGGGACTTGAACATCAATGTATTTTAGTGAGAAACAAGTTTGTAATAATTGAACTTTAGAACATAAAATACTAATGAAATATTACCAAAAGTAAGAGTTTAGTGAACAAAACAGTTACGAAATGATAACAATTTTTGATCATACTTCCTTGGTTCATAGAATTATAGTTTATAATTTAAAACAGTGAAACAGGAAAAACGTCTTTAACAACTTCTCCCCCCTCCCCTTTCTTGTTTTTAGATGGGAGTATATGCATTCACCTCCAGAGGATTCTAGAGAAGCAGAAATCCTAGAAGTTTTGCGGCATCCGAAAGATTGGGCTCACTGACCCAGGGTGTTGGCTGTTTGTAGTCAGCCATAAGGGAAGGACACAAACCCTTGCCTGCTTACGCATTAGATCTGCCATTGTGTGGCAGTTTTTCTCTACTTTTTCTCTTATCATGTGCCTTAGAAATAGTGTTCAATTCTTATTGTTTGTCAGTATCCTTTTCAAATGCCATAGCCTGCTCTGTTTGCAGTTTCTGGATGATTGACTTTGACCATTTGTCCTGGTATGCTACTCCCTGAAGTTTATAGGCTTTGGGCAATGTGAAAACAGAGTATGTCGGGCACAAATAAGTACACAAAATGCAACCAATGTTAAAACTCCAAGCGCCTCTTTCACACCAAACAGGCATTTATTCTATGGATCTAACCCTGCATAGCCTCCTGATTTATACCAATAATTCTCAAACTTTCAGATATTTAGGATTTCAGTTCTCAGGTCCCTCAGCCAGTAAGCTTTATAAGACGGAAATTCATAGGGTTGGAATCTCAAACATCTAGAGGACTGACTCTTGAGAATAGGTTCAGACCTATTTCAACAGTTAAGAGTAGCCTTCTGCTGCTTTTTTCATGTCAGGAGTAACCTAAGAAACTGCACGTTGCTTCTGGTGTGAGAGAATTGGCTGTTTGCAAGGACACCTGGATCTTTTGATGTTTTACCATTCTTGTCAGAGGCTTCTCTCATGTCCCTTCATGAGGAGCTGGAACTGACAGAGAGAGCTCAACCTGCTCGCTCTGGATTTGAATAGCTGACCTGTTGGTCAGCAGTTCTGCCAGCACAAGGGTTTAACCCATTGTGCCCCCGGGCTCCTGCCTTCTGCTGCTGCTAACATCCTAAATTTGGTCACAGATCTTCCAAGGCATATATATTAAACTGAGTAATAGAACTTCAGGAAGTTAACTTTTTTTGTATTAGAATTCCCCAAATTTCCAAACAGTTTTTCCACTGACCATATGTTGGTTGGAAGACTCTGGGAGTCATAATCCAGAAAAGATTTTCACTGTTTTGCTAAATTGTCCTGTTGTTTTATCTGTATTGAATGCCTTATGTCAAGGAACTTTTACAAAATAGGAATTACTGTGATAAACTAAAAGGAATTGCATGTGGTCAGATAGCTTCTCTTTGGAAAATCTTAGGTTCAGGGGTCTGCAACCATCCATACGTTGTCCTGATGTATAATGTGTTATTTTACCCGGGGGGGGGGGGGGGGGACTTTTCTGAGAAAAGCCAGGTTCTTCATTTGATGCACTTCCAGGATCATGTTTGTTTGTTTGTTTTTAAATAACAGAACTTTATTTTGCTGGAAAGAGTTCAGGTCAAAAGATAATACCTTTAAATTAAATCTCTCTGTGAAACTAGAATACAACTGAATGTTTTTTTTAAAAATACTACTGAGATTGTGTTGCACTATCATTGTTTTTTTGCAAAATATAAAGAGGAAGAGGTGAAAAGTTCCAATTCCTGCAAGACGGGACGGGGGGTAATCAGACCTTCTATGTGACTTGTTAGACTTCAAGTCCTAGCAGACCAAATGGTAAGGAATACTGGGAGTTAAAAGTCCAGAAACATCAGGAGGTTGCATGTTTCTCACCCCTTCCATAAGATGTGTTCATAGCCATCAGTGCTACTGCAATTATTGTTACCATTGTACAGTATGATCCCTGTCATCACAGGACTAAAACTCATGGTTTCACCTACATTTATCTGACAAAATAATTTTTCTAAGTCCTTCAAGCATTCTATGGTATGCTTCTACTGGAAGTTATCAACCTCTCAATGGAGAACATAGCAGGTGGTTTTTTTAGAGGATACCTCTAGGAAATTTGTAGATTCTCCAAAAGTTATCTATGATACTTTCAGGCAGAAGTCAATTCATTTAAATGGGATTCACCATTATCCACATTTTTCTCTTTGCACAGTAAACTCAGGAACATATGTCTTGCAAATATGGCAATTATACTGAATGTGCATAGATGCATTTGCATTGGTATTTGCCAACATATGCATAAGGAAATGTTCCTCCACTAATTATTGTACTGAATGGTTCATGTGAAAATTTAGCACAAAGATTCCAAGGTAATTATACCCATTAGTCTTTGGAGCTTGGAGATGGTGTGGAGCAGTGGTTCTCAACCTGTGGGTCCCCAGTTGTTTTTGCTTTCAACTCCCAGAAATCCTAACAGCTGGTAAACTGGCTGGGATTTCTGGGAGTTACGGGCCAAAACGCCTTGGGGGGGGGGGGGGGGGGGGACACAGGTTGAGAACCACTGGTGTGGAGGAGGGTTATTTTGCTTCCAGAAACAAGCTTCTGCAGGACCAGAAGCTTGATGAATAGCAGTGGGCCATGTCATCTCAGATCAGATTTACAAGTTAAATACTTGTATGTAAATTAACTATGTCTGTATATGAAGTGAAATGGCTTCATTGCTTAGAATGTGTACATGTCAGTCCTAAGAGTCTTTTCTGCCATTATCAATATGCACAATGGATGTGTTCCAAACCAAAAGGCATTCCTAGTGTTATCTTGAAAAGTACACCGTTTTTCATCCAACAGTACCTTTAAAAAGCTCTTTAAGAGTTAAAATACAAATTGACTCTATCATGAGTTGTTGAAGGCTTTCGTGGCTGGAATCACTGGGTTGCTGTGAGTTTTCTAGACTGTATGGCTATGTTCCAGAAGCATTCTCTCCTGATGTTTCATTCACATCTGTGGCAGGCATCCTTAGAGGTTGTGAGATAACAACCTCTGCCTGGGGGATCCAACAAAGGATTCCCCCAGGCAGGAAGCAGCCAAGCCTTGAAGCTGTAAAGCTATTCAGTTATAATCAAGCTGACCAATTGCAACATTCACATCTGCCTCAAACAGACAAAGAGTTCTTTCTCCCACCCTGGACATTCCACAGACATATAAACCCCACTTGCCTTGTTTCTAACAGACCTCACAACTTCTGAGGATGCCTGCCATAGATGTGGGCTAAACGTCAGAAGAGAATGCTTCTGGAACATGGCCATACAGTCTGGAAAACTCACAGTAACCTAGCTCCCAGAATCTTCAACCAGCATAGAAAATGGAAGACAGGAAGCAGCAGCTCACAACAACCCAGTAACTCTATCATGGTTGACCAAATGCATTGAACACCCTGTAGTGTAAGAATAAAACACATGTCTGGAACAGCTAACTTTCCAGGAGGAAATGGTCTCGTCTTAAATTTACTTAATATCTTAGCAAAAAAAAAACACCTTACGTTGTTAATTGTTTGTCTGAAAGCTTTCTGTTCTTCCTGGTGATGGTGCGAGATACAGTCAAACTCATCTGAAGAGCATCTGGCTCAGAAAGGCTGCCCACTGGTACCTTTTATCACTTCTTGGATTTCAGTGACCATGCTTTTGTTGGCAATCTGGCTGGGTTTCTAGATTATTTTTAGGAAACTGAATAAAACCATACTGATTGATATATAGATCAAAATTAAGAGTTTTAATAGCCTGCCTTTATTTGAACAAGAGTTATAAATAGACACAAAATGTTGCACAGATTAAGTGAATTGTATCCTGGGAGAGGAACAGAGTAACAGGACTTTCCTGGCTTTTCTTTCTTCCTCAGCCTAATTCTGAGGGGAAAGGACTCTTGCAATGGTTTTTGGGCATGGCCAGAATGCAGCAGAATGAGGAAATAGGAGTTGGTTGAGCTGCCTTATCTCTGAATACAGCTCTGAATTCAATGCCAAAACACTTCAGTTTTCACTAATGCAGATTATCTGAGGCAAAGAAAGAAGCAAAGAGTTAGGAGCTTATGTCCTATACTAGATTAGCTATGTTTTGCAAGGCAACAGGTTTGAATCTAATACTTCAAAATGTTCTCATCTTCAGCATTTGAGAGTAGCTTCTCCAACACCATAATCTAAGAATGTTTCGTACTGAGCTAAATATGGAAGCAATACACTTAGTGCTACTATCACTAAGGTTGGATCTACACTGCTCTATATCCTAGGATCCGATCCCAGATTATCTTCTTATCCAGATTATCTAGCAGTGTAGATTCATATAATCCAGTTCAAAGCAGATAATTGGGGAATCGGTCCTGGGATATAGGGCAGTGTAGATCCAGCTTAAGGTTACTCTCTTTTAAGCCTTGAATCTCTACAATATTTGCAGTAGCATCAATTCATTGAATAAGGTTTTACAACACTGTTAAATCATTTTGAAAGAAGCCATGTAACTTTCTTTTTAGTTCCAACCATCACCATTTCCAATTTTTCTTTTTTTAAAGTATTGTTTTGAAAGATAGTGGATTGTGTCCTTTTGAATGTTTTTGCGTTTCTATCAAGAACCTGCCAAACTGAGATTTATTCTATGTTCTCACAAAAAAAGTTCTGGACATCAATGTTATTTCTGCCGGAGGACTTAATAATTCCTCTCTACTGTGAATCAAAACTGAATAAAAGCAGTTGGGGCTACAAATGGATGTATGTGGTGTTTGTTTTTCTATCAGGTTTTGGAAACAACATTTCTGGTAAATTAAGTTGAAAGCTCATGCAGTCATCTCTCCTCTCCTAAAATCAATTCACCATTCACCAATTGTATACTGTATATACTCAAGTATAAGCTGAGTTTTTCAGCCCTTTTTTTAGGCTCAAAAAGCCCCCCTCGACTTATACTCAAGTCAAAGTTATTTATTATTTGACTCTGTTATTACTATTTTATTACATTTATTGTTTTACTCTTTATTATTACTTTTACATTATTTTACTTGTATTATTTTTATTACATTACATTACTTTACTCTATCATTATTACATTCATTAATTTTACTCTATTACATTTATTATTTTACTCTATTATTGATATTACATTTATTTTATTTATTATTACTACATTTAGAATTTTACTCTATTCCTGTTTTTATATTTCCATTATTTTACACTATTATCATTATTATCATATTTATTATTTTACTCTATTATTATTGGAAGGTTACATAAGCACATTTACATTGAAGAAGGTTAGAGTAATGGTTTAATCAGAGTTGGACAGTCTATCTTAAATTACAGATTTATATACATGTTCAAAAACATTTAATCTACTGATGCCTCAATTAATGTAATTTTATTGGCATCTATTTTTTATTTTGAAATTTACCAGTAGCTGCTGCATTTCCAACCCTTGGCTTATATTCGAGTCAATACGTTTTTCCAGTTTTTTTGCAGTAAAATTATGCACTTTGGGTCAGCTTATACTCGAGTATATAGGATATATAGTTTCTATGGTTTTGCTGTATTAAAATTAACGTGAGGAAGAGATCTAACTCCGCCATTTCAAAACATTATCTTTGTGTAGCATGGTAACAATTTTTAAAATCCTCTTAATGCAATAACTTTCCATGGAGCCAGAAGCCAAGGGCAGCCTTTTCATATGGCAGCACTTGGTGTTCCTGGCCTTCATGGCTGTCAATGTAATTTGAGCACATTTTCACTCTTTCTTGCAAATGATACAGGAAATTGGACTCTTTGATATGATAGACTCAGTTGGAAAATTGGTGAGAGAACACAATAATTATTATTAATTTGATCAAGAGCCACTATGCTTGTGAAGTGAAAAGCTGGGCAAATCTGATTACAGCAAGCCAAACAGCTTCTGAAATGTTGGGGCAGTTATGGGGAGACAAATATAAAACCCAGAGGTCATACCTCACCACATTGAATAATATATACTTTATTTATATTCTGCTCTATCTCCCCAAGGGGACTCAGAGCAGATTACAAAATACATATATGCAAACATTCAATGCCGTTATACAATTAACAACAAAGACAGACAATACACATACAGAGGCAAAGGCTTCCCCCTTTCAACCACCAGCACCTGGAGGCTGTGCTCAACTCTGGCCATGGGGAGGTGCTCTTGTTTCATTTTTCATGCTGAGGATCCTGTTGTCCTTGGATGCCTTCCTGATCGAATTGCCGGCATGTCTGTATGGGTGCCTTTTACCTCCCCACCAAAATGATATCTAA